CTCTCTCTCTCTCTCTCTCTCTCTCACACACACACACACACATAATATTATGTATCTTCTATATTATATTTGTATAGCAAAAACATTTTTTATTTCCTTACTTAGCATCATGAGCATCAAAATCCAATATAACTTCAACGAAGCCCAAATATTTGGGCTTCATTGAAGCTATATTGGACTTTGACGCTAAGTCTCATGAATATATAAATTTGTGGAATAATTAAAAAATATTTGAGATGTTCTATTAGAAAACATGGAAAAATCCTGGAATAATTATTTAAATCAAGGATTTTTAATAATTACAGATAATATTTTTCTTTGCTAACACACATCAGTAGCAAGATATTCAACTTAGCATGTTTTGATTTTTCAGTATGGATCAGACGGCAGATTCAGAGAAATCTCAGTCTCATTTTTATACTGTCGGTTATTGAAATTAAACCAGGTCCACATCAGAAATTGAAAAATGGAAGTTGAATTTATTGATATTTCTAAGTTATATGGAATAGAGTTGCATACTTAGTAATGGATTATCAATGGGTCTAAATGTTTAAATATTACTTCTTTAAATTTTAATTTGAAATCAAACCTTCAAAAAAACTTATTCCAAGCACACTGAAGTCCTCAGAGTACGTATCAGAAAGCATAGAAAATAGATTGATGGTATTACAGAAAAATTGAGTGTATATTAATTCAAATGATTTATATCTGGTTTTGGAAGAATACAATTTCATAATTTGTTGGATATTATTTTCTTCCTAGTCTTCTATTTTTCATTTACAAATTCCAATACAATTATACATAAAGAGGAAGGTTCTATTACCTGTAACAGGATTTTGCGCACTTCTGCCTCATCCTGCTCTGCATTCAGCTGGCCCAGTAGGAGTTCTGCAGAAAGCCTCTCTCCCACAAAGTTTGTGATTCGGTTACCATCATAACCATTAAAGACTCCATAGAGGTAGCAATTATTCTCACTTCTGTCAAAATGAGTCAGGATAGGTAAGCAGTGCTCTTTCTTATGTAAGCAGAGTAACAGCCAGAGAAAACCAAATGAAAGAATGTCAAAATTGTACCCTTGTTCCAGGGGTGTCAAACTCAAGGCCCGCAGGCCGGATCCAGCCCGTGGAGTACTTTGATGTGGCCCACAGCGCTGCCCTGGAAACAGCAAATGACAGGCCTGCAGTGCTTCTGCCGGCAAAAACAGAGCCCGAGAGGGTCGGCTGCAGCCATCCCAAGCTCCGTTTTTGCTGGCAGAGGGCTGCAGGAAGCCATTGCAGCCAAAAACAGAGCTCAGGAGCCTGTCTTCATTGGCAGAGTGGTCGGGCCATCACAGGTGCCCTCGACACAAGTGATATTGAGCTGGCCATGCCCACCCCAGCCCCCAGGGGTTAAACACAACCCTGATGCAGCCCTCAATGAAATCGAGTTTGACACCCCCTGCCTTGCTCAATTGAACAATTCCATTCAAATCTGTGGCTACTTACCTGAATTTCAACCAGTTATCCTCTAAGGGATGAATTTCAGTGCCCTTTCCATCAGTAGTGTAGGAACGATTAGAAGCTGAACCGACACCAGAGAGCTGACATAGCGGCAAGTCATCTGTCCAGCTTGAAAGCTGCTCCTAAATATTTACAAGAAAAAAAGCTCCATTTCTCAATAAAAGCAAATGGAATAAATGGCATACTAATCAGATTGCCTTATCAGAGTGCTAGCAGTTAAGACACTTAAGATCCTTTTCGTACTTACACATATCTTGCCACCTCAACCATATTTTCTCTGCTATTGCATCACTCTTACTTACTGCCTGCTTCTTGAAACCTAGCTCCAGATATTAAATGCCCATATATGCATACTCTATACTACCGTCTGAATATACATAACCTGTCCTGTAAAACTAGTAAGAGGCATACATTTTAGTTGCCATCATTTAATTATTTTTCTATGTGTAGTTCAGACAATAATACTCCTCTTGCACTTCTAAAAGTTATCCTCCAGAAAGCCACAACTCTTCTCCCTCAGTATATACATGGATTGCAGAGGTGATCCAAGATTTCGTCCCCTCCCGAATGATGAATGAATGTTGCTTTTATTTTTAATTACGTACTGTTTTTATATGTCATTGTGTGTACTCCCTTCCCTATATGTTGTAAGCCGCCCTGAGTCCCCTCAGGGAAAAGGGCGGCCTATAAATAAATTTATCTACATCTACATCTTTGTCTATCCACAACAGAACTGTAAGATGTTCATTTAGAATAATCTTCCCTAGAAACGCTGCCTAAGTATTTATAAAGTAGTTCCTTTTTTAATATGGGTCTAAGGGCAAGAGTGCAAATAGTGCAGGTTGGAAGCTGCAAGCTAACTGAAATCTGCAAAATAGATCCTGATAGGCGCTACTCATGACTAATGCTGAATTGAGCTTGGCTATATTGTATACAGATGCCAGAGCCAGAAATATAATTATCTTGCTACATTATTAATATCATAAGAGTACCAAAAGCTGTTTTATTATCAGTGTTTTTCCTTTACTCTTTATACTGAGAAAATTGGATTGTAGGATAATATGTTAATGCACAAAGTACATGAATAGTGCAAGTGGAATATCTTACTGATATGTTGCATCTTATAAAAGCAACCATGTTTTGATTTCACTTAATTTCTTTCTCTGGTAAATACAATACGTATATATTCCTGGGGACAGTTGGAGTGGAAAAGTTTTTCGTTTTCATGCGTATTTTGTGAAAATTATGAGCATGAAGTTACTCCAATTCGGTTAGTTTCTAATTTATAGTTTATTGCCAACTGTACCCGGAAGAAAAAAAGGGCGGGGAGACAGAGCACTTTCTCATCCGATAACTGCAGATAATAAAGGATGTCTGCTTTCATTCAAAAGTTTGGGAGACAAGTTAGGATCTAGCCCCAAAGGTGCTTTTTTTCAAGAGGCAACTGAACTTTCTGATTTTTCTTTGAAGATGTTTTGCTTCTCATCCAAGAAGCTTCTTCAGCGGGAATGGAAGGATTTACAGTCATTAAGGAGGTTTATCTGTGTCATCGGGTCACCTGAGTGGTGCAAATGGGTGTGGATGTGGAGCCTTCTTGGAACTGTTGAAAGGACTATGTTGTAGGAAGATGGTCTCGTATCCCCTTCCCCCTCTGTTGAGAGAAGGCTGTTCAATTTTGATTTTGTCCAGTTGTCTCTTGAAAAAAAAGCACCTTTGGGACAACCATGACCTGAATGACTGAGAATCTCCGCAGACTTTTAGGATATACCCTATTTACACGCCCAACATTTTGCAGCTTACGGGAATGGGGCGCACCCGCCTTTGGCAACGGTGCCTCTTCTGGCTGTGTTGGCTGCAACGCCTATTCTTCCAAATCAGCCCCAGCCTACCGCGGGAGATTATCCTGGCGCATAGAAAACTACGCATCCCAAAATGCGTCATTAAAGGGGAACCTCTCTATGCCTTTGGCTCCGATTACTTCAACGGCTGGAAGGGAGCACCCCGTGCACCTCTGCCTGCACGCCCATCCCTTCCGTTATCGTTGCAGGAAAGCATCCCTCCGTGCGGTGGGCAAGGCAGGGGGAAGAGATGCCCGCGAGCCACCCGACTCTTCCCTTAAATCCGGGAGTGGTATTTTCCTCCGTCCGTACTCTCCCCTACCCCCGCCCGCCGCGCCCCTCCCGTGATCCCATAGAAAAAGCGGAGCTGCTCACACTCTGCAAATGACTCCTCCTCACTGCCGCCATCTTTACGCAGAAGCAATACCCTCCTGGCCTCCTCCCACCCATCGGCGGGCAAGAGAGGTAGGATCGGGCTGCAGGATGGCCATCGGATGTACTGGTTTCCCTCGGTCGACAGCGCCCTCGAGAGGATGGGAGGAAGTATTGGGGCTCGTTGCTTTTGCTCTTCTGCATTTTGCCTTGCGTATAGCATTTTGTCTTGCTGTATTTTGCAGATAAAACAGGAGCGACGCGGACATCAACACCAACTGGCAGATCATATATTTCTAAACTTTGAAGCGGAGTATTTGATCAGCAACTGCTGTATATTGTACACTTTCACAGAATTGGGGGCGTTTAAGTCTGCGAATCCACATCTTAGATCATCTGAGAAATTTCAGTAGCCTGCAAAATATTTTGTGATAATTGCATGTTTCCTTTGGTGCCTTCTTCTCTTACGGCAATTTTGCTTAAGTTTTAAGTTTACCACTCATTTTCAAAGTGGCACCAATTTGTAACCTAGGGTTTTAAGGTCCTGGCTTTAGTCTAGAGATTCATCCCACATGCCTTTTACCCTAGCTGGTTTAAGGGCAGTAGGTTTCAGTCAGACCTACCTGCCAAGGTTGTTGTAAGGATAAAAGGATTAAATGAGGGGATTTCCCCATGAGCTCCTGGAAAAGTGGGGGATGAATGAATGCGTTTGCAACAGGCCTTAGAGCAGCCAAGCCAGGTTTTACATGCAAGATGGCCTCTCTTCTATGGTTGTTCCCAAAAGACCCCAATGTAAAACTTGCAGAACTGTAAATTAAATGGATTATTTCTTGAATGGCTTGGAAAGGGTTAGTAGATCGACTGGCTGGCTGTGAACCTGAGATTTGTATTGAAATGCTTTGGAAATTGGTAAGAGAAGGCTTCTTGCCATTACATTACTCTGGTTATTCAGTGTCATACAGTACAGGTAATCCTCAACTTACAACAGTTTGTTTAGTGACTATTTGAAATTACAGAGGCACTGAAAAAAGTGATTATGACTGTTTTTCACCCTTAGGACCATTGCAGTATCCCCATGGTCACATGATCAAAATTCAAATGCTTGGCAATTGATTCATAGTTATGATGGTTGTAGTGTCCCAGGGTCATGTGATCATTTTTTGCAACCTTTGGACAAGTCCACGGAAAAGCTAGATTCACCTAACAACCATGTTACTAAGACTTAACAACTGTGTTACTAACACTTACCGTGTTACTAACTTAACAATTTCAGTGATTCACTAAAAAACTGTGGCAAGGTCATAAAATGGAGCAAAACTCACTTAACAAATGATTTTATTTACCAACAGAAATGTTGGGCTTAATTTTGGTCGTAGATCAAGAACTAGCCACTTCCTAATAGAAATCTATTAATGTCCCAGCAAGAATGTGTTTCAGAAATCTTAGCCATTGGAAAAACCATATGATGAAATGAATCCAGTGGTTTGTCTTCTTTTCCCCCTGGGTTGTACCCAATGGGTGCCTGACACCCAAATGCCTCTGTACACAATGGACTGATGATAAGGTTTGATCGTTTAGGTATAAAGTATTAGCTCACCATGCTAATGACTGGAAGCCACTGCCTTGTGAAGACAAGCAGCCAGATCTTTAAATGGAGGAATCCCCATTTTAGGTTACCTTGAGAAGTCCTCTGTCACTTGCTGACTGGTATAAGCCACATAAAAAAAACAAGACCTGCAGATGAGTGCTTTGGTTCTTTCCACATTTTCTCAGAAAACAAAGGACATTTTAGTATTGTGTGAACTGCCCTGAAAAGCTTTCAGGTTGGAAAATGAGATTTTAAAAACCACATAAAGTAAGATTATGCATCTTCTCACATCAAGAGCCGCACTTTCCTTAGGGCCTGCTTCAAAAATCAGACAAGGTTGGGGAAAACAGACAGTAGAGCCGGTTAGGTGAAGAGATGAAGGTGTTGAGCTGAGATATGGGAGATCTGGATTCAAGCCAGCGGTGGACTGGAACTGGCTTGTACCAGCTTGCAGGAACCACTGGTTAAATTTTCAGAAACGGTGAGAGCAGAGCTGAGCTGTGACACCTAGAACGCTGATTTGGCACACTACTGATTCAAGCCCACTTTCCCACCAGATACTCACTGGGTGACTTTGACCAGCCATTACTTTCAGCCCAATTTACTCTACAGAAAAAAATAAATAAAAAGGCAGTATGCCAGCTTCAGCTCCTAGAGGAAGGATAGGATATACATATAACAATTATGATTAAAACTTGATTTGATTTTTGGTGCCAAAATGATTGCCTGCTACCTTAAAGATTACAATTCTGTAACTTTTTGAAAGGTTTCTGGGGATTGTTTCAAAATTTTCAGGGGCTGCAGGTAGCCTTGAGGCCACAAATTGTGCACAGTCATTTGAATTAATGCAGTGGTGGGATTCAAAATTTTTTACTACCATTCTGTGGGCATGGCTTGGCTTGGTGGGCGTGGCACTGGAAGGATACTGCAAAATCCCCATCCCCTCACCACTCTTGGGGGAAGGATACTGTAAAATCTCCATTTCGACCTCACTCTAGGGCCAGGATACTGTAAAATCCCCATTCCCTCCCCATCCCACTAACCTGCTTTCCAGCTCCATTTTCCTGTACAGGGCAACAGAAGAAGACCCAGCCGATCAGCTGGGACTCCAATTAGCTGGGACTCAGTATGCAGCGAATAGATGGGGGCAGAGCCAGCAAGAGGTGATATTTGCCGGTTCTCCAAACTACTCAAAATTTCCACTACCAGTTCGCTAGAACCGGTCAGAACTGGCTTAATACCACCTCTGAAGTAATGTAATAATTTAAATTTGAGAGAATGAAAATCTCAGAACACTCCTGTTACAATTTTCAATGTAACAATTTTATTGATAAGATATCAGTAATTATCACCTTCACTTTTTTTAAATAACCACAAACATATAGGACATCATAAACAGAGGTGCCAAGAGGTCAGGGTTTCTTCTATTAGTTGGTAGGAGGTGATACACTGAAGAGGATAAAATGAGTAGGGAATCCTGTATGGAGCAAGCCACTCTTTTCATTGCCACATATGTGTATATAGAGTTCTATATTATACATCTTTATATAATATATATACTATAAACGGGCAGTAATGCAATAGATTAAGGATATACTCCTGAGTCAATGATTCTGGGGCAAAGAGATTGTCAGAACTATGTATTACATGATGTAAAATGAACTGGCCTATGATTTCTTACTCTCTTCCAGCTTAATTTCATACAATCACCAAAAGTGGTCTTTCTTTGCACCTGAAATCATGCTTGGGAATGTGCAGAGATCTAGCAGCATCAAATACCAAGAACCATTGTCCACTATTATTGAAAAACTAGGGAAAATACAAAGGTTAGAGAAACATTAGTTTGATTTCAGTATTCAATAATAAATAATTGGACTGGCTATCCATTCTTCCTTAGTTAGTTGCACATTAAAATGATAATGGTCTTCAGGTGAGATATGTATGCAAGTACTTCCCTATTTGCTGGCCACAAAAAAATTAAAGCCAACCTTTAGCCTACATACAGCTCTATAGCAATATAAGACAACTCACCTCAGTAAACAACCTACACTGTTGCCTAGCGATCTTCTTCATCTGGATGATGGATATTTACTTTGGGGGCTTTCAACCTCATCAGATAGATCAGATTAGGAAATCAATTTCACAGGAAGTCTAAAATTACTTTTATTGTGGTTGGCTATAATAACAGAATCTTGCAAGTCTGATTGTACTGCATACCTCCTCCTTCTTACACTCCAGTGAATTAGGGAGGCGTCTATCTGAGCCAAATACTATTTATTGTACTTTTAAGATACGCTTCACCCCTCATTGCTTTGGTAATGGAGCTTGCACATCTCTGTCAAGGTCATCTTTCTTTCTCTCTGCAATGGTTCAGAAGTTGTGCAGATATAAACAAAGATATCATTAAACAAGGAGATCCCTATATGCTGATCAATCTGTCAACATTTATGTGGCTTATATTCCCTCTGAACAATTAAAATCTGAGGAAGATAACAACTGATACTTCAGAAATATAATGCAATGTTTCGGGCCAACATTATATTTCCAAGCTGTTTCACATTAGGTCAAGCAGCCAAATTATACTAGAATTGCCCTACACGGAACACATTAGCGTAAAGGGCATATGTATGGTTCTAAAGAAGCAGAGCCATCTGCCAGGAAGCTAAGTTAAGTGACAACTCATTGAGCATGACCTCTATGCATAAGTGTTATCCATTCCTCACGCTTTATACGCAAACTAAGCTAAACACTGAGGTAATTCAGTTGCTTTATAATTCAGTATGAAATGGCTGCAATCTTGTGTCAGAAATTAATGCAAAGATTCCAGTGGTGTATCAAAGAGCAATCATCACAATGCTGAGTTCAGTGAGATAACAGTGAACTCTTCCAGAAAGCATATGTTGTTATGCCCCAATTGTGTGAATTGTTCTTGTTACTGGGCCTTTGTCAGGGAGGGTTACTATTTATTTTATGGTTATTGGTTGCCCGGAGTCGCATTTTTGCAAATTGGGCAGCCATGTAAATATTTAAATAAATAATATAGCTTCTGAGTAGCCAAAATTGATGATGGACTTTTTCTACAGAAAACCCTTTTATTGTTCAAATAAAAGGCTTGTATTATGTAGTAGCCAGTGTTACTGTTTGGGTATGTTCAATTAAATGGAATTAAAATTGGAAGTAAGCCAAACTGACATCTGATCCTCTTTTAATGAAACAGAAAATGTTTCAAAAAAAGAACACAAAGAGAATCATTATTGAACTTTTTGTAAGAAAGAAGATTTAAGACAGACATTGCCCAGGCCCAGATCTAAGAGTATAATGTTTATTTTAAAGTGAAAGATTCAATACCCTTAACTGCAATCCTGGTTTGCAGGATGACAGAAATGAGCTAACATTTTTCACCATTGTCAGGTGTGCCACTTTTCTAGACTTTGTAATAGATAGTGAATGACTGAAGTAAGCTCCTATTTGGATCTAAAATTATGGGAAAGGAAAAATGACATGAATTAATGTCCATTACTACAAGAATTTAGCGTTCAGTTTGTAAATAGAGAATTTAACATAGCTTGGCCTAACCTACAAGCCAAAACCCACTTGTGGTTTTTGCTAGGTGAACTTGATGTGAATTCATGCAAGTGACATTCACAAAGCTTCGCAATTCTATACCACTAGATTTTCTAGGCTCCCACCCAATTCTATAATCAAGCATCCCTGGCTTGATTTAGTTAAGAACCCCCTCCTCCCCTTTCCCATATGCCTAAATATAAGGCTACTTCAATAACAGGCTTTGAAAGATAATTCCACCCCCCTCTCAAGCCTATACAATATTTCTTTCACCTGGAACCAGCAATAAGAGGACCAAGTTCTTTGTGCTTCAGTGTACAGATTAGGATACTCCAACCTTGGCAACTTTAAGACTTGTGGGCTTCAACTTCCAGAGTTGCTTCGCTGGCTGAGGAACTCTGGGAGTTGAAGTCCACAAGTCTTGAAGTTGCCAAGGTTGGAGACCCCTGCTACAGATGATCACATCCTCTTAATGCTGCCTAGTAGCCTAGCCCACTTCACAGTGTATTTCCAGAGAAAAATAGACAATAGAAAATATATTGAAGTCATTCTACATACAAAAACCATCATACAAGCCACACACAAGAGGAAGACCAAACACTATAGTGTGTGTTTCTTTTCATTTCATTGCTCTCTGCTTTCTGCTCTATGAATTAATTATCTAGAGATTTTTTCCCTTCTTTGTGCAAGAACTGCCTATTTATACCAACTTGATTTAATAAAAGAAGAAGATCAAAAGCCGCAATATCCACTGGGGAAAGAGGTCAATATCCGCAAGAAGGCAGGTGTAATGTTGGGATCCAGGTCTTATGCTTTTGTATGCCCACTGACTTTCTATATATAAAAAAATTGCAATACTGTGTCTGCCATCTTGCAAAATTTTGACACATCCCCTTGTGGATGCCCAGTCAAATGGCATTTGAAATGCTACATTGCCTTATTTTATACAATGGCCCTGATGATATACTGCTGTGATATTTAGGTTATCTGTAGATATATCAGAATAAGGGCAATTTGGAACATAATCTGAACTACAGCTCCTATCATTCACAGCCATCATGACAAAGATCCATCTTTGGCTCCCTGACATACAATTAAGAAAATATGATTTTGGAAAGTATTGAGACTGAATACTGCACCTTCACTTTTGGCTTAGTGTTTTATATTGCTTAGCAATAGGTTTATACCACTAAATGTTGTGATCTTTGTACACTTAAGGCAAACCTCTTAAATGAAAATAATTATATGGTTTCCTTTAGAGGAGAAATGGCCAGTAAAGCTTGCTGAATGAAGAGATGGTTAAGGAAAGACAGGCAGATATTTGTACTAGCAACTTGCAAATCGATAACTTTTGGAGATACTTTGGGTAACATACCACTAAGAGTAGATGAGCTTTTATACAAATGTTCTTAGTATACAACTCAATGGTATTTTCTTAGCGCTGACCACCATACACAATTTTAAAAGACAGAAGAATTCTGTTTTGTTACACTCTACACAAAATGTTAATGTTTTCTTGTAAGACATTATCATTTAATACAATGAATGTGGTTTCCAGACAACATTTGGTCCGAGCACTTTTTTTTAGAAATTCATGAATAAATATTTTTAAACTTCTAGACACAATTCGTGGGAGCAAGTCCCATTAAACGAGATGGAGTTTACTTCTGAATAATCCTTTGTCTGATTAAACTTGCATCACTTGTTCCTTATTTATCCTATTAATTGCTTGAATCATGAATATATGAATAGTATACATATATTATGCATCCATCATACTATTCCCTTTTGGGTTTAATCAACATAATGAACAGTGCAGTAAAGAAGCAAGAAACAGTATACTGAAGAAAGTTAAGGCATGAGATAAGAAAAAGAAACTTCTCTCCTTAGGAGAATTTGAGTTTCATTTCACATGATTTTCTTGGTCTTCCCCTTCCTCTCAACACACCCTTTCTTCGTGTACTTAGTCTGCAAATCGATCTTCATTTTGCTCTTTTTATAGGACCAAACCATTTCAATATACTTCTTTTGTACAATACTGGTGACTCACTTTTATATTCAGTCCATATTCATTTTCTATCTGTTCATTCTTGACCATGCTTTACCTCATACATTTCTTAAGTAATTCATTTCCATTGCATTGAAGTTACTTTTATGTTTTATATCCTGACGTCCCTAACACTGTGTTCCATATAACATTCTGGGCAGAAGTATTCTGAGCTATTTTTGCTTATTTTTATGTCCATTCCTCAGGGGAGTTCCTCTACTCACTATAATTTTATATCAAGCATTGGCATTTCTCCAATTGGAAATCAGCTTTATTTTTTTTAAAAACCTGGAAAAGAGGATTGTCCATTGATACAGGTAATTTTGTTCAATGGTACTTGAATTACATCTCAATATGGTTGTGTTGTCACAGGATTTTCCAGACTGTTATTGGCATGCATTATTTTTTCAAACTGAATTGTGATTTGCACAATATAATCCTGATGACAATCTATTATCTATGAATTTGAAGGAGATTTCATGGTCATTATCCTGGGTTTAGAATGCTATATCATTCCTTGACAACTCATAATTTGCACACTTGTCTTCATAAACCACTTTTGGAGAAAAAAAATAATTGAATGAAATTATCAGTCATTTAGTTAGTTTAAATTTTGTGAATTGTGACTGGGTCTCTTCTCGTGTGCTGTTTTGTCAACTAAACAAAGCCAGTTCATCAAATTTGGTTTAGCCTATAGTAAAACGAACAGATGTGATGCTGTTGTAAACAGCTGCCTCATATTCAGAAACAAATGTAACCACTCTGTGTCTCATTTTTCAGCCTGTATTTAACATTTTGCTTTTTGAACTTGATCAGAGAATCATGTAATATGTCTCAATTCTCCAAAAAACCAATCGCAAGTGATCAAACATTGGAACAGTTTGTGGAGGAAACCATGTCTTATCAACCTGAAGCAGATAAAATGAAAATAAATAATAATAATAAGAGTGCACAAAACAAAACATTTTAGTATTTCATGAAAATCCAGGATATTTTTAAAGCTCCCAATTATATTGTAGATTCCACGTCCAATACTTTATGATTCCATTCTCACCTACCTGATATCCTTTTCTGCTTTCCATCTCTATATTTTCCTTGCTGCTATGTACAGCATTCACTTTTGCTTGCCCACTTTCACTACCCATTTATAGGATGCTCTACTCATCTGTCCAGTTCTTATTCTCATTTCTCAGCACTTAAATTTACACACTGGCATCTTAACTAGTATTCAATCACATCCCAGTGCTTACACTTTCCACCAACAGCATCTTGAGATTATTTCCCTCTTTAAGACAGCTTGAGCTTCCCATACAAAGAATCTATCACGGCAACGCAAACAATAAAATGTTTTGCAATGAGCAATCTAGTTATGATGGAGAATTCCAGGGGAGGAGGCATTTTCTGTAAAGAAGAAATAAAAAAAAGAGAACCTAGACGGCCAGAACTGGCCAAGAGTCACCTGTTGCTCTGGTCTGCTTTGCACGCTGACTTCTCAGTGGCAGAAGAGAGTGGGTAGAGGGAAGGGAAATAGGAGGTCTCCAACAGCTTTCAGTAGTCTTGCGTTTGGTACCCTTGTGTCCCAGCATCAAAAGCATCTACGGAAGGAGGCTGCTGGTAGGCCGCCATGCTATCTGTGGTATCCTCATTTGTGTAGGGTGCATAAGGCATGCCGGCCTCCTGGCTTGGATCTGTGTAGTCCTGGGAGAAGAGTGCTGAATCCGCTCCAAGTTGATATCGCTGGAATGCCAGAAAAGCCTGGGCCACCTTTAAGGGAGGATATGATGGCATGGGGGAGATTTTGGAAAATGGGATGGAAAAACAAAACAAAAGAGAGAAACATACCAGGAAGAAACAAATAGACGCTGTGTTAGTAATGGTTAGTGCACAAGACATAAATTAGGGAAAAAGACATGTTGCAATTACTTAATTAAATGCAAATACATTCTAAAGACCAGATGATCTGGTACAGCTCACCAAGACAAGCGAGTTCAAGCAAGAAACTGCAGAGTAAGCAAGGGAAGAATAAACTTTTAGGAGAGATCCTATGGCTTATTTACTTGGATAAAAGACTGGTGAAAATAAAGCTACAGTAGAAGATATGGTTCTGGATTGCTTTTGTAAAGCATATCCAAACCCAATAAGGCCAGATCAAGTATGTGGAAGGCATTAGTCGGACCTCTTTCATATTCAATATTTCATATTTATATACCTGAGACAGGTAACAGAAGGATCATACAAGGCTATGCAGACAAGCTTTTCAATGCTGACTGGGCTACGGAGGTAGAGTTTGAAACAATATTAGCTTTCCAGGGATATCTCATATCCATGTAACTCCCCCTCTATTAGTTTTGGAGATTTATGGAAGTTGTCAGGTAGAAATAAAGGCGAACCATATTTTCAAGATTAATCAAAGTAGTGGTTATAAGAGGTCCAGCTCCATCATAATCTCTTGTTTGTGAAATAATCTTTAGTAAACAACATTGAAGAAAGAGTGTGGGAAGCTGTTGCAGTTTCTAAACTGCCTTCTGATACCATCAACATGTAGGTTATACAACAGAAGAGCAAGTTGTGGCAATATGAGCGTGAGCAGAAATAGAAAATACATTTTGTCATTAGTGTTAAAATTGTTAACCAAGTGAACCAAAGAGGCACAATGGTGTTATCTAGAACTGAGGGTAGAAAAAGAAGCAAAAGAAAAGAAATTGAATAGGACATATTCTACTTTCAACTATTTGAGGCTTCAAAAGAAGACAACCTCAAATATTTCCTTAAGTATCTCAAAGTTTCTAGAATTTTCTTTCTTCTCCAAAACATGCTGTTTTAGTTCCTGGACCTGCCCTATTTTATCCTTTTTTTTCTTCCTTCCTTGCACTTTAAGCATCAGAAATATTTGCTCTAAACATTTTCTCTCTGATATGTCAATTTAGGGTTTAGGGGAGAACTGGTGAAGAATTAGGAAACAGTGTGCTGTATTCTTCCTGAAAAGTAATTTCTCCAAGTCTGCGAAAGGCCAGAAAAGTCAGGAAGCTCTGTAGGAAAAGAATAGGATGGACCAAGGGCATTAGACAAGATGTGAATCCTTATTGAAATTAAAGATAACATGGGAAAAACAGCTGGCTGTCTTAACTTCCATTTAGCAGAAGAGAAATCTGCTAAGTGGTGATATTTATAATAAAGGACTTCATTTGACAGCAAATGTCTCCTTTAGATAGTTTTTTCCCCCTGTTTGGACCAGAAAAGGACTCAATCCATCCCAAGATTAAAAGCTGTCAATGATGGGGTCCTTGGTGCCCTGTGAGCTTGGTGGTACTCTGAGCCATCAAGCTCAGAGAGCATCAAGGACTCCACAATTCAACTCTTGAGCTACAAATATCCTTTTCTATCAGTGCTGCCAATGATAAAAGCAATAAGTAGCACTGGGTGTGGTAACCTCAGCCCTCCAGGACAGCATCCCCAGATAAAACCATTGAGATTTTCCAACAAAATGGCCAGATTTAAATGGCAGAATTTCAGAATGCTTGGGAAGATTAGTGAGGGGGAAGGGAGCAGTTTGCTTCTCCCAGGCTTTCCATTCCCACCCTAATGCCCACAAAAATGTTTTGATGGAAATTATATGACAAAATCACTGTGCAACCTTCAACATCCCTCCAAAAGACTGGGAAGAAAAGACATGGCCCCTCATTTAGGAGTGGCAGTGTAACATTTAAATAGCATCTGGAAGAAAACAAATACCAAAACCCAGGGGGAAAGAGAAAGGATTTTGTAAAATGCCAAAAAACTAAAATAAAAATTGACTACATCAACAAATATAGGAATTTCTTTTAGATAAAATCATATTCTGTACTATTCTGGGTTGTCTCTCAGCCTTTCATTTTTTCTTTTTCTTTTGGAGTTCTCTTCTAAAGGAAAAATTGATTATATTTAAATATAGATAAAAATAAACAGTAGAGAATTCTCTTCTTCTCTATGAAAAGCAATAATCTTGTATGGTAATAATTTTCTTGCAATTCTTCCAAATTCTCACCATGTGACAATATATAAGGCAAATATGCCATGTGATAATATATCTCCAAAATGTAATATGTATCAGGCCAGTAATCAGTGTCAATTGTAATACACTCTGCACTTTTTGTTCCTTCCATTATCAGAGGCAGAATATTCTTTTGTAATCCACCAGTCAAACTGTGGGTAATTTTAAATTTAAATTTTAAATTTAAAGACATTAAATGAATATTTAAAGATGGACAAAATATGACGTATTCTCATTCACATTGTAGAAATGGCAAGTCTAGTTTGCTTTAGTTATTATATCTAACTATTCCAGCAATGATTTTATTTATCTAAAAATTTCTACATTGCTTCTCATATTTATAGACGGAAAAAATGTAGTCCTAAGTCAATGAATTAGTTACTGTATCATCAAATTTGGTGATTTTCTTTTTTAAAAGATGCTAGTGTCAAATGAAATAAGCATTACTTTCTTAAGTAGCCAATGAGAACCTTTAAAATGTTTTGAAAATGGCAATTAAAGCCATGAAAGGAAGTCCAAAACTGACATGGAACCATTTTGCATTACAAAGATTAATTTGAAAAACAAGTTGGATTAGATGCCTCAAAGGCCGCCTCTAGTTCATTGAGATGCAGAGCTGTAAAAGTCAGATTAAGCTGGTTTTCTTTGCTGCAACTTCATCTCCAGTAGGGAAGTAACAGACAGAAAACAGGTACAGTATGTAAATATCAATGTTTTTGACCAACTAACTTTTCCCCCCCTCTAGAATCAAGCCACTGATTATTCAGATCATATAAACAGATTTTCTAAGGTTAAAGACTGCCACAGAGGAGCTCTCCCTTATACAAATGGAAACTGGGGCAATAAGATGCTTATAAATAACATTCTTCACTACTAGACAAAGTCCAAGCCTGCATAACTTACCCAGGTGAAGATGGAGAAAAAAGAAAAGGCAATGGCTGCTCGGGCTGCATCTGATCCTTCATTCAGTGGACTATACTCTTCCTTCGAAACACGCCATTGGTCAGCCAAGAAACAAAAACCAACAAACCAGAGAAACGCCCAAAAGCCTGTAAGAAATCACCATCAAAACAAGAGAGAAGGATGAAAGAATACACACCCAAGAATTTTAATTCTCACATGTGTTCAGAAATTTTTCCCTATAACATCTCAAAGTGATTTGCAGATTGGGATAAATTCCAGTTCTTTACAGCATGGAATTGCAAGTTAAATCCAAACATATTATTCCCAAGCCTTACAACTCCCAAATTTGAATTTTAAGAAGAGAACTAGTGGCTAATTAGTGGTCCCACTCTGCTATCTATCCCTGACAAATATGGGATCGGTCCAGAGGTGGGTTCCTACCAGTTCGGCTGAACCGGTTACTGGTTTGCTGGCCTGGGTTGCCAGAACCAGCAGCGCCCCAGGCCTCCCAGGCCTCCAAACTAGTTCCCCGGTCGGCGCAGCATGTTTTTCCTCCATTTTTTAATGTTCTGCACATGCGCAGATCTATTTATGGGCAACTGCGCAAATGCGCAGAGCAAAATTGTGCACGCACCAAACCGGCAGTAATGCTGGCATCAACCCACCCCTGGATCGGTCATTTTAGCATCTTTCATTTGGCCAGGATCTGCACTCAGATGCAATTCTAGCTGTGAAAATATTGTAGTAGTTCTTGATTAACTACCATTCATTTAGCAACCATATGAAGTTACATATGGCATTGGAAAAAGTGACTTACGATCAATCCTTGAATTTACAACCATTGCAGTCGTTCAACATCCTTCCTGGCTGGCGTCCAACAAGCAAAGTCAATAGAGAAGTCGGATTCACTTAATGATGGTGTGATTTGCTTAACAATCATGGCAAAAAGATTGTACATTTGGGTGTGACTTGTTCAACAACGATCTTGGTTAGCAAAGAAAATTGTGGTCACAACTCTCGAGTTACACAGACACACAGACACACACACACACACACCAACCAATTTTCTGTCCTGGAACTCTTTTTCCTCTTTCATGCTTTGCAAGCCAGAAGCAATAGCATCTTTTTTCTTTTCAACTGGTAAGGAACGCAGCTGTATCGCAGAGGACTTTTAGGAAAAGGAGGAAGAAGGGAGAGGATACCTATTCACTTATCTAGCAAAGCAAGTTTGTCGGGTTAACTTAACACTCAGTTCTGCCTAAGTAAGGAATATGCTGTGGAATGGCAAGGCTTAGTCATCAAGAGTAAGTTTATTTCCATTGCACAAATGGCCTCACAACAGTGGGAGCACTTGCTCACTTATTCTTGAATTGTAGCAATTTTGAAAAACTACTAAACCATATAATGCAGTGGTCTCCAACCTTGGCAACTTTAAGACTTTAAGACTTCAACTCCCAGAGTTGAAGTCCACAGGTCTTAAAGTTGCCAAGGTTGAAGACCACTGATATAATGGACCACAGGCTCAGCTGAGAAGGAGGACAGATGTAGAAAGAGCCCTATCTTGAAGGAAGGGCTGGATTGTTGAAGGTCTCAGTAGTCTAAATAATCAAAAGGAATCTTTGTAAATGGTTCTGAATGGCAGGCAGAGTTATTATTCCTGCAGTTTTAGATAGGGTGGGGGTGGGTGAGAACCATGTGATTTTGGCCTCATTCTGAGTCAAAGCAGAACTAAGAGTTAAACTGACTCTGACTGCCTTGAAACACAGTTTTTTAATTACTAAGTTTTGCTTTTAAGTAATCATAACTAAGAGAACTGGAGTAATAACTCCAAAATGTATTTCCCTTCTTCCATTATTTATGTAGCATTTCTATGCCAGTAAGCTAGCTAGCTCTGCTACAGAATTTGCTAAAAGCAAAGCAAAACAAAAGAAAAAATGAGCAGGCATTAAGCAAATATCTCCCTGGCTGTTCTTTTCTATCTTGACATCATTAACAGATGCATCTAAATATTATACTGTACCTTAATGGATTTATAATCAAATCGTACCATCTTACAGAGCCATTTGGTGTAGTGGTTAAAACATCACTCTAGAAAGTAGGAGATTGTGAGTTCTAATCTGGATTTAGGCACAAAGCTACCTCGGTGACCTTGAACTAGTCACTTTCTCTCGGCCCTTGGAAAAATAAACCTGCAGGGACTTGTCAATCTCCAAGAAGAATGGATGGATGGATGAAAACTACAGGGACTTGTGCAGGCAATTTCCATGATTGAATAGGAGGGGGGGAAAGCCACCTCTAAGGATGGCAACAGAAACAATCTGCCCGTCAATGGAAGAGAATGGATGCCTGATGCTCTAGTACATCAATGTGCTTTGTTTTCTCTGAAAACACAAGTGCATTTTTTTTTTCAAATGTGCAAGGCAGAGATGGATTGCTGACGGTTTGGCCCAGTTCAGCCGAACTGGTAATGGAATTCGGACCTGGGTGGCAGAACCAGCAACAACCGAGGCCTGACAGGATGCTGGTTTCCAAGATCCTGAGTCAAATTAGCCTCCACATTATTTGAAGAGTTGCGGCTGGGGAAGGCTGTACAACATTAGGCTAGACTGTGTTAGCTCCTATTTGAACATTTTCAGAGAAGGCTTCATTGAAGGAAGAATTAGTATGGAATCACTTCTCAACTATAAAAATAATATTTAAACCCCACATTTGTGAAAAATAAGTGGACGGAATACTGTCCACTGGACAGCTGTTGCCTTGTCAGATTTATTTATTGGATTCTAGACTCTCTGAGTCCAAAAAATTCTAGGTAACTTTAAGATTTAAAAATGAATGAAAGGTTAATTTCATTAAGTTGCCGACATAAAACCACATAAATAACACTCCTAAAAAAACTGTTGGGGCTCCACAAACTTCCTAACTTCAGGCCTGGGAAAAGGGCCAGGTCTTAAGAGGCTTCCAGGTGGCTTGAAGCATTGGGGCTTATGGGTCTCTGGGGGAATGTTGTTCCACACCCCTTTGGTCCCACAAGATAACAACATTTAATTGAGCAGATCCCTAGTGTGCCCACTATGCCCAAGCATACCAGAAAGGCAGAAACAATTGGAGACAATTACTAGCAGTAGCAAATTATGATGCTTGGAAGAACTATAGGAACAAATCAGCATCTCAGGAAAAATATGTTTTTAAAAAAGATGTGTAATTCAGATGTAAAAAATCACTGAAATATAAGTGACTTAGGGTAAATAAGTTGTGATTGCTTTAAGGTTTATATATCAATTTAAAATATTGTAAATATATTAATAATTTGGAACCAGACTTAAAATAGCTGAGTAGAACAATTAAACCAATTAAAGGAAAGCTGAAATCAAGAGAGTTTTTAAAAAATATTACTAATAGTTCAGAACAGCAGTATCTCCATGTTGGGTCTTACATTTTGCAACCCACCCACCCACCCATGGATGCTGCTGGTTCAAAGCTCCTGGCTGGTGCTCTTGCAGAATATTCTCTGTAAGGATCACTCTCCTAAGCCGATTACAGCCTGCATAAGCCAGCCCCAATTCCTTTTAATTTGGTCTTCAGTTTCATAAGTAGAGAAGATTTTGAGCCGTACTGCATCCTTTAGAGCCAAAACAAATGGCAGTGGCATCTTTTTAGTTTAATTTGGAATTAGCTTGCTTTAGTATTAATATTTATTTTGTGGAAAATTAATAATGTAAAAAGACTGACTGGCTGTAAAGCTAGCATATCACAATATTATAGATAATATGTGAAAATGGGTGTTCCCTTTCTCCATTACATCCAACAGCTCTCTCTTCAACAAGGTACTTCTAGGAATATTTTTTTTCTTTTTTACAAAGTGGCTCCAAGAATCCTTCTGGTTATTTTTATTTGTGCATTTCTGAATGATGTTAAGAAAAAGCAGCCGCGTGACTCTACCCATAGAGGCCCCTCTTTTTCTACAGACCTCATTTGCATTGAGATTCTCCATAGACAGAGGACACCTTACATGACAGTCGTCCTCCGTTACAGTAAAGGCAACACCTTCTATTCACAGTTAATTAATTAAAATGTGTTAATTTATAAAATAAAAAGAGTAAAACTGGTGAAATTAAGAATAGGAAAAAGGGTAAGCAAGATAATGCAAGAAAACAAAAAAAAATGCTTTTAATTTGAATCAGTGATCAGTTTATTTAATAAAGCAGATTCCAAAGCAATACAACTCCATCTCTGATTAATAAAAAGCCATTTAAATCATGTACACAGATGTAAGGCTGGATCCATATTCACCAACAGGCATACACACTGTCCCTATAGAAACCCATATACATTCATCAGAAACTCACCAGATATTCCAATGTCTGAAAGCACAGCTTTCTTGCGATCCTTGACACTGCTAATCTGCGGGAAGTAGACATCTAGCGCTAAGTAAAGAAGGCAGGTGAGGAATGCAAGGACTCCCACGGTGATTCCATAGTTGCAGGCATTCTGGTTGCGATTGTAGATGCAGAACTGTTCTGGTGTGTTGGGTTGGTTGATATAGCCTTCATTCACAATGCAGCCAAACACAACAATGGAAAAAAGCTGGGATACAGAAAAGTGAGAAAAGAGTTAAAAGAATTCATTATACAAATACAAAATTCACACGAGGCAGGCGGGTGATGGGTCATCAGGTTAGTGTTGACACTTAGCAACTAGATCAGGGGTCAGCAACCCGCAGCTCTGGAGCCGCATGTGGCTCTTTCATCCCTCTGCTGCAGCTCCCTGTTGCTGGTCGGCTCCACAATTAATAGGCCTTTCAGTTAGGACAGGCAGAAGAAAAAGGAGGAAATTCTATTTGGGGAGTGCGGAACCAGATTTCTGGTCAGCAAAGGAAAAAAGGATGCTGCATTAGGAGGAGACTCTATAGTGGGGGCAGCAAGTTTTGAAAGCCTGCTCATTTTCCAAATATCCTGCAATTGTTTTTGTGGAATAGAATTATATTAATCAAGAATTGCAAATATTACCCATTTGAAAACTAACATACTTTACCTTGGTTAAATCTGCACAATGGTTTCCTTAATTTTTCTTTCTGAGTGGAAGCTAATGTTTTCAAAAGTAATCATCAGCCTCAATCACCTATCTCTTCTTTAATCAGATGTTTATTTATGCGCAAATTCATCATTTTCCTTTTTTAAAAAAAATTATATATTGTCCATCTGGATAGGTCAAGGTGACCTCCAGGAATATATCAATAACATACAACATAGGCCAGCTGCATTGGCAGTATATTATATTTACACTTTATGAGCTTTTTAAAGTCTATTTTTGTGGTTTGCTGTGAACCACCCAGAGTTGTGCATTCAAGATGAATAGCCACATAATTTTTCTAAATAATACATTCTAATAGCTGTACATTTAAAATACTTAAAAACCAAATGGAAAGTAGTAAAACTATAGCAAGTATGTTTTAAGCCCTCTCCTAAATACTGTGTTTAGGAGTTTTAGTTCCTATAACAATTAATCTCACGGATTGTAACTTGCCACAGAAACAAAGCCAGAAATCCCTGTAGATCATGGTGTCAAACTCGGCAGATCACATGACGTTTCACTTTTTCCCCTTCGCGGAGCTAGGGTGGATGTGGCCTCTACATGACGTATCTTGCCCGTGGTTTGACACCCCTGCATGTAGATCAGTGGTGGGTTTCAAAAATTTTTACAACCTCTTCTGTAGGTGTGGCCTGCTTTGTGAGAGTGGCTTGCCGGCCATGTGACCGGTGGG